AAAAGTGTTATAACTTCATATTTAGTGGGATGTGCTTTATAAGGCATGATTTTTCAGATACGTCATCTCAGGTTTTGTATTCTGACAGAACATTTTTGAGGACTAGCCTATTGTATTTCTGTGTGGGAAAAAAAAGTAATTCCTCAGTGTATTGTCATTTACCATATTGAAGAACTTCATGATCTGCGCCAAGTTTTAAAGGGTTGGTCTTGTACCCATGTCTCATGCCATGAGTAAAAATGACAAAGTACACGCCTCAATACTCATGCTTTGTGTTCCCTTTTGTTCTTCGTTCAAATGTTTTTAGTGCGTGAATGTCTTGTTGAACTTTGTCTTGAGCTGGACTAGTGGTGTGTGTCAATTTTTCGAGTCTTGTAATTGTAGTTTCATTTACACATATGTCATATGATTTTATCTAAAGCAGCTTACAGTGCATTCAAATTATATAGGCATAGTTTATCAGTGCATTTCATTCAGTTTATTTTACAATACGTTGCAATCAAACAGGCCCAAAATTATAACCTTACTTTTTTTTTTTTACTCTAAAGCATAAGCACACGATTGGCTGTGCTGGTCTCGGCGGTGAGGAGGTAGACCAGACTGACAAGCAGCTGTTGAAGACTAGGGGGGTACGAGGGGTAACAGATGAGCGGCTGGAGCGATTCTTATTTTTAGCCATGATTCTGAGCACTCCCTGCTGAGAATAAGGAGACACTACAACAGCGTTAACTTCCTCACACAGTTTTCAAAGCATAAAGTTGAGTGTATGTGTGAAAAACGGTGACCTTTATTAGTCAAAACTTTGTTTTCATTGTTAGCAAGAGTCAAAACAGTCAGTGAAAAGTTACAAATACATATCTATTGCCATTTATAATGAGAGCAGTTGAGACTTACACAAAATATGCTCAATACAGGGTTCCAGACTGCGACCATTTTTTGAGAATGTGCGAGTTAAAATGTTATGTGGTCGCATTTGTGCGAGTGGACGCTCGAGCAACAGAGCGCCGTTGTATCAGCAGCTGCTGCAGTCCGTAACTTATGTTCAAAATGAACGAGTAGGCTACATCATGAATCCATTTTCCAAACCGTGTTTTTGACTTATTCTGAATCACTACGGTACGCCTATAATAAGTGTTTATATTCGGACTATTTTATCCCGGGGTCGTCTCGGCTGCGGAGTAGCCCAGTGCCTGCGTGACTCGCCATAGACATTAACGGAGAGAAGTTCCGTCTACAATGTTCTTCCGCAAGACACGTGCAGTTTATTTATTGACGAACGTAGACGTCACGCGCATTGCACACTGATGGTGAAACACGCCAATTACGAATTCACGAATTAAGGCATATAAAAATGGTCTCACGAAACACAGAGCCCCCTCCTCCTACGTCTTTTCAGCGGTTATATTTTCCTCTGTCGAGCGATTACTCTCATGATCGCACGACAGAGGAAAAGGAAATTATTATAAAATGCAGAATGAGTGTGAGATTTCTGCTTTTTGTTACAACTATAAACTTTGATAACGAAAAATCTGTATCAGTTTATTATAATACTCTAATCTTTTAAAAATGTAATGCATACATTTGAATGTTTAATGATTTTTAAAAGATACAAAGATGATAATAGACAGACATAGATAGATAGATAGATAGATAGATAGATAGATAGATAGATAGATAGATAGATAGATAGATAGATAGATAGATAGATAGATAGATAGATAGATAGATAGATAGAATATGATTCAAATGTAAATCGGTTCTGCTGCAACCCAGAAAGCCTTTGCTAGCTTTGGTCCATTAAAACCACTATTCAGCAGCATGCATTGATTAATCCCATGGCATGTAGCAAAAAAAAAAAAAAGGTGCGACCAAATCATATGCTGGTGTGACCAACTGAGAAAGTTGGTAGCACCAGTGCAACCAGTGGAAAAGTTAGTCTGGAGCCCTGCAATATCTCTATCACCTATGAGTTGCATGTTGGTTGTAGGGATGAGCTTGAGTACTTGTATGTGACAGCGACGATCGATCATGAAAACGGTGATCGCCCAAAACTGATTGGTTTTTGGGGCGGTTCCTGAGGTCTGATTTGTTTCTGTACGTTCACACCGCAGCCGACTTAAGCAGCAAAGAAGCTCTGGCCGCCCTGTCAAGGACGCTTGTCAAAAAGTACGGGGAAGCTTGTTGACGCTTTGGACACTCTGACGTGGCAGGGAGAAGAAAAGTGTCACAACATGAAATGTAATAAACAGAAAAAACAAGCAATACATTGAAGAAACCTTTTATAATGACAGCATTTTTATAACCGTTTTGGTCACAGTTGGTCGGGAAAAAAAAGAATAATTAGCTATTATTATTATTATTATTATTTGCATTAGTGCAATTGGTCAAATGTGAGCAAATGAATTGCATTCCCGCTTAAAACGAGCGTTCGTAAATATTTAAAATAAAAGTTGCGCTCATGCGGTCCCTATAAGCAAACAACGTCATGTCATAAATGATAGGAAACCCAGCAACGGCGATTATTAATCGATTAGCTTTTCCCCCATTTTCTCAGAACAAATGTTCTGGTAGGAACGAAAGTTTACATCGTATGTTTCTTCGGAATCAGCCAGCGCGAGGGACGTCTATATTCCGATTGGTTGCTGGCGTTTTGCCGCTGAACCGCGTCATAACTCATTACCATAAAGTTGAGCTTCTTTCAACTTTCTGATTGATGCTCAAAACGCCCAAAACGCGACGCCGATGTATTTGATGCTCCTTGCAGCTGAGAGAAGCCAGCTTCCATTAAAAACGAATGACTTCCGGCCGCTTTGGAAGCTCAAGTCGGCGGCGGTGTGAACGTACAGTTAGCGTTAGACAGCACGCCTTCCAGACCAGCGTTCCAGACTAATTCATCTCAAATAAGAAGCGTTTGGTTGAGTTTAATAACCAGCTAGAAAAACGCGGCAGTTTACCGACCGTTTATTCACTCGTCATCAGTTTCAGCTCAAATGGAATGTCTGACATTATTGACTGATCAGGTTATTTCTTATTTGAGACGGTCATATTCCTTTTAGATAGGCTTGATGGGCATTGATATTAATAACGCAGCAGTGTTATTTCGTTCAAATTTTTTTAACAGTAAACCTACGTTTTATTTAAAGTTGTTTCTTGTTATGGCTTCGAAAACGCGCAGTGATTACTGTAAGATGTGCAGCGCCAATATACATGCCATATTCAGTAGGGGTGGGAATCACCAGAGGCACGATATTATCCCGATACTTGGGTCACGATACGATATTATTGCGATTTTAAACATATTGCGATATTCTGCAATATATTGCAATTTATTACCTTTTTTCAACTTCAATTTTTGCATTTTTTCCAAACACAATTATTACATTTATATCGCCTAAATGTTTGCGCTCATTGCAATTTTTACAATGGGGATAATATTGTTAAGAATTTACACAACACAAGGAAGCTTGATTTAAATTGTTTAATTAAATTGAAAAAAGTAGCACAAATAAATACAATAGAATAAAGATACAAATAATGACAAATAAAGAGAAAAGTTTTTGAATAGGTCTAACACTAGTATTCATAAACACAGAAACTGAATAATGTAATCAAATGGATATACAACACTGTATACTACCTAGATAGTAACACTGGGTAGTATTTTTAGTCCTGACTAAATTAAATACATAGGCTGTTAATCCTGATTCCTTTAATTTAAAGCTATCTTTTGTTGTTTTTTTATGCAAAATTAATGACAGACACATATGGCTTCCATCACTTTAAGAGCTAGTGCACGGATCCTGTGTTCATTATACTGTCACATGCGTTTTATGCTTATTAAAGACAAAACCGACTATGTTTAGAGTATACTCACGAAGACCGAAATTGACACAATTTTGCGTGTTAAAGCAATACAATCCGCAAAAAATAACATTTGTTACTGGCCAGCTGTTTTTGAGGCGGATTTTCTATGAATGTGCGCATGGAAAATAATCTCAGAGCGCGCGAACACTGATTAGTTTAAAATCGCTTGAATGTTTAAACTGGTGAGACTTAAAAAGATGTGCAAATGGTAAACTTCAGTCACGATGCACTGCTGGCCCGATTGTGCAAGTGAATATTCCGTCATGTCCCGACTCCTTAACGCGAGTGTGTATTATCGCCGCAGCGCTTGATGCTTGCCTTGCACAACACATTTTGAGAGAAGAGAGATAGAAGACGCAGCACCGCTGAACACTCACGCAGACACGCACTCTACTACCAAAGTTAAATTCTCATGTGTAGCTAATTTAAATAATAAAAGATTGATACTTGGCGCCCGTGTATCGATACAGTATTGCCACAGAAAATATCGCGATACTATGCTGTATCGATTTTTTTCTCCCACCTCTAATATTCAGCACTATAATGATAACAGGATTGTGTTATCATTATAGTGAATGTTGTAAATTCTCTGTGCTTCAGCTGCCCGTGTATCAGCGCGCTGTTAAGAGAAGAGCGCAACCAGTGTTTCCCTTTCAAACCCATAGACTGTAAAAAACTAGTTCACATGTGCATTCGCGTCCTTGTGTGCAGATGTTGTAATATTACGTTTATGTTATGTATCCAAGATATCTGGTTATTGATCTCATAGGATGTGTCATAGAGCGGGCTTCAGTTTACTGGAGATCATTTACACTTCAGCTTTACCTCAAGCAGTTATTCCTTTTAGATGTTTCTTTTTCGATAACATTGGTGCATCATAATCTAGCAGTTTTTTTTCTATTCATACCTTCATGTTTTCATGTCATATTTTTATTTGTCAACATTAATTTTCATAAATGTCTTAATGTTTTCATTTTCATAACGGACACGCCACGCCTCCTGCACATGCCCCGACCCCCGAGTACTCGAGTACTCATTTTTTGAGACATGTCAATGATCGGAATGAGAAATGAACAAAAATGCCCATCCCTAGTTGGTTGTTAATGAGATTTCCCCTCTTTTCCCTCTTTCCCTAGACTTCGTGTCCTTGTTCGACTTGGAAAACGATCTTCCAGATGAGCTGATACCCAACGGAGACCTGGGGCTGATGTCCATGCCCTCTAATGGAGATGGAGGCCGGATGGGGGGCACCATCCCGGATGCTGCTGCCAAGCACAGGCAACTGTCTCAGCTCCTACAGGCAGGGAGCGGCCCTGGTCTGGCTGGAAACCTCAGCCCTCAGTCTGGAATGGGTGGACAACTGGGTGCCTTGGGGAAGAGTCCCATGGGCCAGGGCTCACCCAGTCACCAGACCCAACCTTCCAAGCAAGTCGGCACCCCTACCGGTCAGGGCAACAATAGTCCGGGTATGGGCCTCAATGCTGGTTTCAACCAGGCCATGATGAACAATAACAACCAGGCTCATGGACTCATGGGGCAGAACATGGCTCAGCAGGGGCAGATGATGAATGGTGTGATGGGGCAGGCCGGAAGAGGCAGGGCAGCTCCGGGTATGCAGTACCAGGGTCAGGGTATGCAGGGAACACCGGTGGGAGCAGGTGCCGGGCCGGGGGTCAGCGTTTCTGGCAGCGTATTGGCGGAGACGCTTACCCAGGGTTCACCACAGATGGGGGCACACAATGCCATGAATGCCCAGCAAGCGGGAAACATGAACAAGGTAAGTCACCCATTGCTATTTTTCAGCTCTTGCATTCTAATGCTTTGTTTAATTTTTCAGTGTGGTTGGGTTTGAATGATTTAACAAGCTAACAGGAATACAAAAAAAATAATTGTTTCGGTTTCGACCAGCTTCGTATACGTGAAGTTTCAGTTTCAACCTATAATTTCCTCCTCAAATGGTAGAGTGCTGTTTGTTACTTTGATTTAAGTGTCATGTTGGACGGTTTTCTGCTTGTAGTATGATAATTCGCTTGGTTGTTTTGTCATTTTCCCTATCAATTATCAAAACTCAAGCCTTTAAAATGAAAGGAAATTCTGGGTTATTTTCAACTTGAGGTATATGGACAGCATTTGTGGGATGCTGTTTACAACGGACAGTTGCATAATAGATGCACAATAGAGATATCTTAATTTGTCTAAATAAAGGTAGTTAATAGAAAACAAATATATTTTGCTGTGGTAATTTTGAAACCGTCTGAAACGTGCTATAGATGATTGCTGCTGTTATTGTTTTTGTTAACATTGCATTGGTACTTAATTATCGTAGGTGTTATCTGTTGAATTGGTCCTGTTTAAGTGGACTGGTTGGGATCAAGCGCAACACGGAAGTGGCTCAAATGGCTCCAAAAGAGAGTCAATCCCATATACTCCCCATGTTTATAATGCCCAACTTTACAGCAGAGTTTGTTTTTTACAGCCTGGTACAAAAAGTGGTTTTGGTCTATAGCAAATTTTGCCCTTCATGACAACTGTGAGTGAGGTGGATTTTTTTTTATTTTATAACTCATCCGTTTAAATAATATTAAGCCTTAAAGTTGTGCATAATTAAGGGTGTGTCCACTTGAGTGACAGGTGGATTGCTGTTGATGTCACTACTAGCTGTTTGTCTGCTGTCTGTTAGCAGTCACGTCATCTCAGCTAATCCCGCCTCTTTGCCCATTTCCGGTCGTCACGGACACTACGTACATATTTTTTTACAGTCCATGGTTGGGATATTGGCTCTAGTCAGGGTATATTTTTCCAAGTGTTTTTTGTAATTTTTTACATTTTGTCTTGTCCGATCTGTTCGTCGACGATCGTCCATGCTCTCCTGTGATTTTTTTTTTTTATATATATATATATATATTTTTATATAGATGTAGACCATCTTTCGTCCGTGGTGGGGTTCGCTTAAAATGTGCATTAACAACGCGAAAGCGCCATTGGGTTCTCTGTTTTGACATTTGTGCAATCCCAAATGTTTGTTGTGGCTCTTACACATTCAAACAAAGACACTTAAACTGGTAAAATTCATTGAACCTAACACTGAAGTTCATTTTGGGTGTGTTCACACTTGTAGTTTAGTTCGCTTGGTTTGGACAAAAAAAAAAAACAGTTAGTCCTGGTCCACTTAGCGTTCACATTGGCATTTTAACACTGAACCTAAAGGCAGAGACTGCGACCAAATTGGTCACATATGCGACCATTTTTTGAGAATGTGTGAGTTAAAATGTTATGTGGTCACATTTGTGCAAGTGGACGCCTCGTAAAAACGCCGTTGTATCAGCAGCTGCTGCAGTCCGTAACTTATGTTCAAAATGAACGAGTAGGCTACATCGTGAATCCATTTTCCAAACCGTGTTTTTGACTTATTCTGAATCACTACGGCACGCCTATAATAAGTGTTTATTCGGACTATTTTATCCCGGGGTCGTCTCGGCTGCGGTGCGGAGTAGCCCAGTGCCTGCGTGACTCGCCATAGACATTAACGGAGAGAAGTTCCATCTCTACAATGTTCTTCCGCAAGACACGTGCAGTTTATTTATTGACGAACGTAGACGTCCCGCGCATTGCACACTGATGGTGAAACGCGCCAATTACGAATTCACGAATTAAGGCATATAAAAATGGTCTCACGAAACACAGAGCCCCCTCCTCCTACGTCTTTTCAGCGGTTATATTTTCCTCTGTCGAGCGATTACTCTCATGATCGCTCGACAGAGGAAAAGGAAATTATTATAAAATGCAGAAGGTAAGGAGTGTGAGATTTCTGCTTTTTGTTACAACTATAAACTTTGGTAACGAAAAATCTGTATCAGTTTATTATAATACTCTAATCTTTTAAAATGTAATGCATACATTTGAATGTTTAATGATTTTTAAAAGATAGAAAGATGATAATAGACAGACAGATTGTATATAATTCAAATGTAAAATTCTTAAAATTACTGTCCAAAATCCATGAAAATCCTGAAATTTGGCAATGATAATTAATATATTACAGGTATTTCTGCTGCAACCCAGAAAGCCTTTGCTGGCCTTGGTCCATTAAAACCACTATTCATCAGCATGCATTGATTAATCCCATGGCATGTAGCAAAAAAGAAAAAGAAAAAAGGTGCGACCAAATCTTATGCTGGTGCGACCAACTGAGAAAGTTGGTAGCACCAGTGCAACCAGTGGAAAAGTTAGTCTGGAGCCCTGATTAAGTATATTTCATGACAGAACTTACCGAACATCCAAAACAATGCTGTGCGCTGAACTAAATTAGCTTGTTGTATGTGCGTAGCTACATATGATGGTATTTTGAACCGCTGAACTCGTGAAGAGCTTATAAAATGTGTAAAGGACTCAAAACAGAGGCAGGAATCCCTCCGTCACACACAAAAATGAAGATCTGCTGCCTGCGAGGAGAAGCGATTCAGATGCCTGTACCGAACTGTGATGGACAAACCGAGAAAAAATGTATATGCGTGAGCATCCTGTCCTTTTTAGGGTCTCCTCTTCCTGTTTTTGGTTCGTTTACATGTCGTTGGTCCGTGTTGTTCATATTTCAGTCGAACCGCACCAGAGTATGTTTAGAAGCGGACTAAGACCCATCTTTTCAGGGGTTTCAGTCCGTTTCTTTGGTGGCACCAGGGTTCAGATGGCAGCGTTCACACTTATTCAAATGAACCGCACTAACAGAGCAATCGCACCAGGGTTCGTTTTAATCCAACCAAACATGCCAAGTGTGAACACACTAGGGATGCACCAAATGTTCGGAATAAATTTTACCGAACAATGATGTTTTTAATGACGCGATCAAATGGCAACTAGCATAGGGTGAGAGGCAGCGGCGCGCAGCTCACGCTTTATGAATCCAGCAAACATGTCGTCTGTGTGGAAGTATAAAGTGTCCGAGAAAGATGCAAAAATGGCCGTTTGCAGACACTGTTCTGCTGAATTGTCAAGGGGTGCATCTGCAAAATCTTACAGCACTATTTAGTGTAGGCCTAATTCAAGTCAGCGCGGAGATCAAGTCAGAGACGCGTGTGTTTAACTAGAATCTTCAAAAAGAGTATCAAGTTATTAATTATGCGCAGTAAGTTGTGAAAAAATAACTCTAATGTTGTATCGGGCTGAATGACGCGCGTGCACCAGAAGCGTTCCCTCAGACAGCGCGATCCCGAATTCACTTCTTTTTGCGCCTGAATGGTGAAATACTGACACACAGGTGTCAGTCAAACTGCCCATCATGTGGAGTATCAAAAAATTGTCAAAATAAATGGGAAAAAATGCGAAAAACCGCCCTTCGGCCAAGTGTTTCATTATATTCGGCTTCGGCCAAGAATTTTCATTTCGGTGCATCCCTAGAACACACCATTTACTTCAGTAGGCTTCTTATTTAACTTATGTTTAACATTAATCTGTGCCTGCTTGAGCTTTTCAGACATTTAAAGGGGCGGTATAATGCCCCTTTTTACAATATGTAAAATAAGTCTCTGTTGTCCCCAGAGTGTGTAGGCTATGTGAAGTTTTAGCTCAAAATACCCCACAGATGATTTTTATGTTTTTTACGTTTTATATGTGTCCCTTTAAATGCAAATGAGCTGCTGCTCCCGGCACAGAGGGCGGAGCTTCAAGAACTTGTGTGTGTGTGTGTGTGTGTTAGCAGCTCCGATTACCTCACACAGACACACTAAAATGTCAGAAACTGTTCTGCCTTTTATGTTTAAACTGGAGTCGGACAATGATGGAGAGGCTCAAGAAGAAGTGACATGTAGAATGCATCAGGACGTTTCTGAATGGTTAGTTGATGACTTTATGTTTCTGATGTGAAGTTAACTATCTTCAAGTCTTTAATTAGCATATTCTGTCATGATAATCTATAAAATTGCTCGTGTGGAAAGTAAGATGCCTACAGAATGACATGCTATTGCATTTGCGTTACATACTGTATTGCATGTGAAAAGACAGATGCGACAGTTTGAGCAGACTCACAAATGTGCTCTACTACAACAACTCTTCCTCTTCTCAACATGCACTGCGTGTTCCGGGGGTGGGGTTTATGTAAATTTTAGGGTTAGTGATGTCACTAACCCGGGAGGAATGTCGTGTAGTCCCTACCAGCCGTTTCTTGTAGTCCTTAAAAAATTATTTCTTCAAAAGCAAGTATCTTCCTTTCAGGGCTCAACGCTAAGGATTTTTTCTACTGGCCAGTGGTTGAAATTTGTACTTGCCCTGCCAAAATTTGTACTGGCCCCAACACATAAAAGTAATAAATAAATAAATAAAATAAAATAGGTCTAGTTATTGTTTGGGTTGTTTTTGATCCGTGTAACCTTTAAAGGGATACTCCACCGTTTTTTCATATGAAACTGTTATTCCCTTAACTAAGACGAGTTGGTAAATACCTCTCTCGTCTCAGTGCGTGCACTAAATCGCTCTGACTTGCGGCGAAACTTTGATAGCACTTAGCTTAGCCCAGTTCATTCATTAGGATCCAAGGAGAGAAGCGACCAAACACCTCCACGTTTTCCCTATTTAAATACAGTTACACGAGTAGTGTAACTCGACCAAGAATGGTGACACAAAATAAAACGTTGCGCTTTTCTAAGCGTGTAAAGTGGATAACTATAATGTATGGTGGAATACCATAGCAAGTGCTTGGGAGCACTTCGACTCGGCGCAGTAATATCATCACTCCGGAGAGGGAGAGGGGGGAGAGAATTTTTCAGGAGTGATGATATTACTACG